TCATGGGCTGAGTGGAGCCCTCCAAAGCATCTTTGGAGCAAACCACCCAGCTGCTGAAGCTGACAGAGAAGCCTGGCACGTAGCTGCAGCCCGCAGTTGGGAAGGAGGAATGGGGATGTGCAGTAGACCAAGAGCTGTGTCAACAGGATGCTCAAGAGACCAGCCCCTCTGGAGCTCATATTGGCTGCTCCCTATAGGCACTGGGGGACTGCATCCTGCTCCTTGCATGCCCTGGTGCTGCAGGGAGGGGAACACAGCAGCCCAGGACAAGAGCACAGAGCTGATTTTTGGGCACTGCAGTGCACCATGGGAACAGTCTCAGCTGGAGGGGGGAAACAGAGTCAGATGTGATTGGGGAGGCCAGGGAAAAGGGATGTTTCTGCAGGCGCATCCATGCTCCAGCTATAAAACAGCAAAACCCAAAGCTGGGATGGGGTGGAGCAGCCATGGGGGAGCTACAAAACAGCCCCCTGGGAGCCTGGCAGGAGCTAAAAAAAAACAGAATCTGCCAAAGCACCAAGAAACCCCCCAGGGTTGCAGGCTGGCCCTTGCAAGACAAGGATGGAGCAATAGCTGGTCGGGTCCACCAGCTCCTCCTAAGACTTGGGGCCTCGGGCAAAACTCATGGAAAGCAAAGGAAAGGCTCCTGCAGACCTCCCTAGGAGCTGGGGGCTGGCCCTGGCCCTGCAAGAAAGTCTGGGGACATGCCAGCTGGCCAGGACACCCTGCGTGACAGCGGCTTTCGCAAAGCCAAGCCGAGCCACTGCGGCCGAGCCATCCCTGGGGACCTTTGCGGGGCTGTTGCAGCACAGCTGTCGGGAGCTCTGTCGCAACACGGGCACGATGCTGGGCTGGCTCGCGATAGAGACCCTGAATCACGGCTCTTCTTGTTTCTTCATAGCTCCTTTTGCAGGAAGGCAAGGGCTGAATCGCACTGTTATTGAATTGGAGTTGGTGCCTGTGTTGACCTTCATCAAAGAGGGGCTGGTGAGGTCCCTGGCTCCAGCTGCTGCTATCGGTCTGGCCAGGATGAAGCTCATGGTCCCAAAGGAAGGGGCTGGTGAAAGCACAGGAAGGCGAAGGAAACAGCTGGAAGGGCACTGCCGCACCAGCCAGCGGGAATGTGCTCCAGGAATGCTGTGCCAGCCCCACTGTGTCCCATCTGCCCTTCCACACCCCCAGGGCTGCAGCTCTGAGCTCTGTTCGAAGTGGGATGGGACCGGGGGTCAGTCCCTTTCTGCCGAAGACACACGACCCTCCCCAAGCTGCCACAGAGATGATGCTTCCTGGAAACCAGCAGCTTCGCCCATCCTTTCTCCCCCTTGGTGTGTCTCCAGCATCGGCTTTTCAACACGGCTCAGCATCCTTTGTTTTCACTGTAGGAGGTAGGGTAAACCAGAAGATGCCCAAATGACCTTATTTCCACCGTCAGGGTTTCATTAGGTGAAGGAGCCCTAAACTTTTCCACTGCTCCCTATATGGCAATCTCAGCAGGTCCATAACCATTTTTATTATGCTGCTTCTATTTTGACCATCTCCATATTGAAAGGAGGGGAGCAGAGCTGAGCACCCTCTGGGGAGCCCTGGGTTGGTTTCCAAAACACTTTCAGCATCCTCCCCTGTCCTGGTTGATTACTTGTGGTCCCCTGACCATTGCCACCAGCACAGGCCAGTCTCACATCGAACCACACCAGGTCTCACCCTCAGTCAACCTCAACTTGCTTGTGCTCTCCAAAATCAACTTCAGGAAACAAGTATGAGCAGGGCACTGGTGGATGTGACCTTGCTCTGCACGGACCCTTCCAAAGTCCCTCATAAGCTTTTTCAGCAAGGAGCAATCCCCGCTAGAGCAAGCCAAGCTCCACTTGTCAGATGCAAACACCACACACAGTCCTGATAGCATAGAAGTGAATCAGGTCTTGACAGACTTCTTGTCCTTCTTCTCCTGGACCTCCCCCACCGCAAACACCAGAAGAGGAAGAGAACTTTGCCATTGTTTTTTTTCCATGACCCAGACTCACACCACTGGAGAGAAGGAAGAACAGCACCTCTCAGCCCAGCCCTCTGCCTGTACCAGAGAGCTCAGTGCATGCTCCAGGGCCTGTGGTGCTGTGACCATCCAAAAGAGCCTGAAGCTCACCCCATCCCAACCCCATGCCAGGGTGACTCAGATACCTGGGAAGCAGCCAGGCTTGAGAGATAATTCCTATTAACACGCTGATCCCTGACACGGCAAACCTGCTTCTAATTTCCAGAGGAATTTTCCTTTTTCCATGGAAACAGTCTATGGGAATCTGGCTGTTGGGGAAGACGACTCAACCACAGTTGCGAGGCATCTGCACCCTTCCCACCTTCACAGCCTGGATGGGAGGCGAAAGACATCACTGGGAGGTGCAGAGAGATTTGCTGGTAGCAACTCGGGTTGTAAGGTCACTACATCCCCGGCCAGAGAGATTGGGTGATTTTCACACATGCAATGCTGTTGTAACCACAGGAACACTTAGAAAAACCAAAAGCTCTCTAAACATCCCAGCGAGTCACCCCAGACATCCCAGGGCTAATTCCTGATGCTGGCTTTGTATCAGCACCCCAAATGCTGGCAAGGCCCCTGCGCATCACCAGTAGGAAAGAGCTCCCATCCCATCCAAGCTGTGTCCTTGGCTGTATTGTCAGCAGGGGTAGAGCCACCCCATCCCACGCCTGAACAAGAAGAGGGGAAACAAACTGGGAGAGGTGCCAGAATCTTCCGAAGGGAGTAAAGCAGAACCACAAGCTGGCACCTGCCCTCTCCTGCGGGAAGCATCTCACACGGGGTTTTCCTCCAGATCTAAACCCATGGGAGAAGAAGATGCAAGAATCTCTTGGCTTGTTTAACCTAACGAGGAAGCTATAAATACAGCAGGGTAAACACCGGAGAGGGAGAAGAGGTCTTGAACTAAAAGCACAATGTTGGCACAATTCCCATGGGGGAATAAGCTCTCCAGGAACGCACTCAGCAGGAAACTGAAGGGAGGTTGAGCCCTGTGTGAGCAGGAAGAGCTTGGAGTTGCCTTTGAACAAGAGTGGAGTGGAAAGAGAGGGTCTGAAGTGAGCATTCAGATAATTCATGGTGGGGGGAGAGTGCCATGCACTGCTACCATCCATGGGGGCCTCCCCATTTAGGATGGTCCAGGTGAGCCAGGGTAGAAGGCCAAGGGAGATGCAAGGCTGGGGGATGCAAGTGTGGGCTGCCTGGGGGCCCACTCAGCTTAAGGCTTCTGATAAGCCCATCAGCTGCAAAAGGGAACCACCACTGCTGCCCTGATAAAGACGGCAGGGAGACTCACTGTGCCGTGAGTCATTCATTCATCCTTCACAAACATATTCTATGATGATTCTATGGCCAGCACTTGGCCAAGCATCCTTCTCCCCCTGCTGCCAAGACGGCTCTCTGGGACAGGGAAAAAGTGGCTTATCAGATATCATCATGTCAAGTTTTCCCCTCCCTGAGCGGTTCCTGTTAATGGAGCAGGAGGAAGGGCAAAACCAGAGCTGCTCTTCTTCCACCTCCCTACAGGCAGTCTCTGCCTTCAGCTGCACCTCCTGGGACCGGTCCCCACCGTCCGACTGCAGCCCACACCCCCTGTTCACCCTCTACGGGTGATGTCCAACCCTGCGCACAACCCCGCTGTCATTATTCACCCCGTCCCTCATCTCCAGTCTCACTTTGCCTGCCAAGGTCAGTTCGCACCTCTCCAGAGAGGTGATATGGCCCCTTTCACTGCCCTCAGAAAGGGCCAGGTTGGCAGCAGAGGATGTGTGATTGCTGGGAGGACACTGCAGCTATGTCCCATCCCCAACCCTGGCCCTGGAGGGACCTCCACCAGTTCACATCTCCCTGTGGACCTCCTCTGCCCTGCGCCAGGCTGGGATGCCACAGGCTCCGCGTAGCATAACCACGCTGCAACCTGCCCTCCTACAAACAGCCATAGTGCAAACACCCCACCTCCTCCTGCAAACACCACAGCCAGATGTGGCTGCAGCCTGTACCAAGCGGGCACCTCCCGTCCTGGCACCAGAGGTGCTTGGCCAGCCCTGGCCGGCTTGGCACTGGCTGTGTTATCAACACCAGTCAGTTCAACACCAGTTTGGGCACAGCAATTCATCTATGAGTTGTCGCAGCTCTGGGTTTCTCCCCATGGAGACCCGAGGCAAGGTACCCCTAGGTACCAACACAATGGGGTCTCGGTTTGCTGTCAGGGATGTCTGAGCCAGTCTCAGCCCCGTGGTCCCCTTTGACACCCTTCACCAGCCTAGAGGGGACCTGGGGATGACACAGCCAGCCTGCGAAGTGGCAGTGGGCAAAGCCCGGGACTCGGCACCGCAGGGGCCGGCACAGCACGGAGAAGTCGTGATTTGAGATGGCACCCGATGCAAAGAGGGACAAGACAGGCGGAGAGCCCTGCCAGTGCCCGCACATGGGAAAGCGCCTGTTCCCGCGCCTCTCGTAATTGGGAGCAGCTTTTCCTCCTTGGACCCCCCAGAAGAAGAGGGGGCCCTGACAGGGCGGCGCTTGCCTGGTGTTGCTCCAGCCTTTCTTCAGACAACTACTCCCGAAGAGAAAACCGGGGGGAAAGGGGTCCAAACTCGATGCGGGGTTTAGCATTTGTGGAGGCTGGGGAACGGGATTAAAGATCCCACCCCGACAACTCCATCCAACCCCCGAGCATCTCCGGGGAGGTGGGGGAAAGGGGGAGCAGCACCAGATACCCAGAGGCAGGCGGGGGGAGAAGCGAGAGGAAAAGTTCTTGTAACTTTGCGAGGGGCACAACACACACACACACACACACAACTTTCCCCCCGTACCAGCAGCAAACAGGCTGGGGGAGAGGGGGGTTTAAGCCCCCTGCTGCGCGGCGCCGGCAGCCCTCCCGCAGCAGCGCGCCCCTCACCGAGGCGTCGGGGCGGCGGCCGGTCCCTGTTTTTGGGGAAGGGGTGTGCAGGGGGGAACGGCTCCCTACCTTCCTGCGTAGTGCCGAGGCTATGTGTCCATGGCGCTCGGCGGAGCGGGGCCGGAGCGCGGAGCGGGGCCGGGAGCGGGTCCGGCGGCGGAGCGCCCGCGCCGGGCTGGCTGTGGCCGGTAGCGCAGGCGGTGCGAAGCCCGGAGCCGCCGCCGCCGCTCCATTGGAGCAGGGCCCTGCCAATCTGCCGCCACCGCCCCGGGACTCTTCCTGTCTGCGAGCCGCCCCCCGCACCCGACACGGCCCCGCGGCTGCTCCCCGCAGCCCCCCAGGGATGCGCGGTGTCCCCAGGGGATGCGCGGTGTCCCCCGGGATGCGCGGTTCCCCCCTTCATCCCGTGCCCGGAGCTCGCCGTCCCGCTCCGGCCGGGGCACTTGGTACCCCCCGGGGCTCAGGGACAGCCCCAGGGTGCACAGCCCTCTCCAGGCAGCTCGTCCTGCGTTCGCCATCCCTGCCTGCCCTTCTCCCAGCATCCTGGAGGAGCTGAGGCAGGCAGGTCCTGCCCGTGACTCAGTTTCCCTTGCCCTGGGACGCGCATTTCTTTGGGGTTTACGTTTGTAAGGGTTTATTTGATGGGGAATGTGTAGGGTGAAATCTGGCCCCCAGGGCTTGGAAAGGCTTGTTCCTCGTCACAGCTTTTGGTGTGTGCTTGTGTGCCCCTTTTGAAGCAACCCTCTATCGCCCAACCCGTTTCCAAGGTTTTATCAGTTTGATCACTGACAATTTTCGGGAGGAGAAAAGCAGGCTAAAAGTGTGCAATGGGAAAGCTGACGGCGAGCACCCCTTGGGAGCGTTACCTTGGCACCTGGGGCCACGTGCGTTCTGGGGACATGCTGGAGAACCCTTTGATGTGATGCCATCATGGCTGGTGATGCTGCAGAAATGGGATGGTCCCTGTATTTCCCTCCCCGCTGAACATGGTGCAATGAACAGGGTCGCAGCCCCCCTCTGCAACACAACGATAATGAACCCATCCTTGCACGTGTCCTGGCACACATCTGCAACCCCACAATAAACACCGTGAGTCACCTCACCTCCTGCATAACCCTACAGTAATAAACCAGTGTTCTCCTTCTTTCCAGCCCTCCTGTGCAACCCTACAATAACGGGATGTGGGAGAGGTGGATGCTGTGTGTGGGGTGCCAAGCCCAGCGCCCGCACCAGCTCCCTGTGGGTACTGCTCTTAGCTGTGGTTGAGGTTTGGTGCCCACATCGGCTGAGGAACAGGCCCAGTGTGGCACATGCTCGTGGCCTGGGCTGCTGCCTCACTAGCCACATGTGGCTGGACCCATCCTGCCTGCGCTACAAGAGCTGGGGCTGTGCCAGGGCTGGGGCTGTCCCTCCCTGAGTCAGCTCACGTGTAGCTGCTCCTCAGGTGCTTTGCAGGAGGAGTCCTGTCCCACCAGCCTGCTCACCTCTGCCTTTAGCTAACGGCTCAGATGGATGTTGGGAGCCTGCGGATGTAGGAGGGGCTGGTCCTGAGCAGAGAGATGTTTTCTGCGTCCAGCTTCTCACTTTTCCCCTTCCTGCCTCCCCACTCTGCCCTCTGCAATCCGCCTGAGCAGAGGGATGCCGAGCATCTTGCAGCATCAGCCCCTCTGGAAAGAGCGGAGCTGGGCAGGCTGCAGCAAGCGTTTGGCCCTGGGTTCTCCCCTGGGAGCAGACCCTGAGCTTCCCTCAACGCTTCGTGGTGCTCGCTGGGCGCCGGGAGCCGGGCTGCTCGGCGCCAGCGCTGGCCGGGAGCCACACGCTGCTTTCCCTGCTGCTGCAGCGCCGGGGAGCCGAGCCCAGCTGCACATCCAGGGAATACCCCAGCTCCGCAGCGCTGCGGCCACCCTCGAGGTTGGGAAGCTGAGAGCAGAGCTTGATTTGGAGGGGTGTCTGTCAGCTCCAACCCCCCTGCACGTACAGACACTCCAGGGGCACTGGGATAAGGATGCGGTGGGGCTCTGGGCTGTGCTGGGCCAGCAGCTCCGAGCAGAGATAGTGAGCTGCAGTGCTGGGGGAAGAAGGAGCACGGGTGGTGCGGGGTCTCCCGGGTGAGCAGGGTGCTTGGTGGGGCTGCATGCACCCTGGAGTCCTCAGGGCAGGACTCCTCTGCACCTCTCTGATGCAGGGCAAGAGGGACAGGAGCACTGCATCTCTGACAGAGCAGCTCTTGCCCTGCTCCATCCTTGGACTCAGATGAGTGTTGTGACACCCACACACCTCCTGGCTCCTCTATTCTGTTGTAGCATAAGAGTTTACAAAAGGACATCTCCCAGGATGGCTGCAGCATCCCATCCAGCAACTGGTACCCCTCTCAGCACCCCAGAATGGCTGAATTTGGGGACCACAGGGTCTTTCTTCCCACTCACTCTCCTCCAAGCAGGAGACCAGGTTGGGCAGAGTCTTGGGTGACATGATCAAGTGTGAGGCATCCCTGCCCATGGCAGGGGGTTGGAACTGAATGATCTTAAGGTCCTTTCCAACCCTAACTATTCTACGATTCTCTAAGCAGAGACCAGGACAGAGAGGGAGCTGCCAGCTCTTGTCCAGGCAAGTCAAGACTTGGGCACACAAGTGGATGGCTGGGGGTTATATTACAGTATCACAAACACAAGCAGGACCAACTGAACTGGGGCCACATGAGCTGTGCATTGCCCTCCCTGCCAGGCCACAACTTTGCCTGACTCAATACCAGTATGTGCTCAGAAATACCCTGAGCTCTTTGCTGGGAAGAAGCAGCCACATCACTGAACTGGGTTCCCACTTACTGCACTGGGTGTAGAGATTGGGAGGTCTGGGATCAGAAGATCTTGAGCTGGAATAGGACCAAACTTGATGTGAGAGGTGACATGCTGATGTGCAGCTGCTGTGACACGATGGCATGCCAATCTTCAGCCATGCTGGATGAGTTAATATGTGCTGGACTGCTGTCTGCATGGCACGAGTGGTGCAGATGGATGGATGGAAGAGGATTGTGGGCACTGGAGATGAGTGCATCTAAAGGCTGTGGTGTCCTCCCATGGCTTCTGCGCAGAGGTCACTGCCACAGGTTTCAACTCCTCTGCTGCAGTGCTGGTCAGTGACATAGAGCCTCTCCTGCTGTGGTGCCCATCTCAGTGCTGCCTGTCTAAGGATGGTCCATTACCATGCAGCCTGGGCATGGATAGGGCTGGGGTAATTACAAGGTGCACATGTCCCCTACAGACCAGCTCCAGTGACTGTTCCTGCCACTCAGAGGCACTTGAGACTGTTCCAGAGGTGCAGGTACCTACTGGGTATTGGACACTGTTTGTCAATGGGGCTGTGCTGTTCAGCACCAGCCTTTTTGCCTTGTGTGGGACCTGTCCTGCTGCTCAGCAGCTTCGCTCAAGCCGCCTTGGCTTGTGGCTGGGGTCTGGCTGCTGTGCCATGGGCATGGCCCTATTTGAAGTGCAGGGTTGTTGTGTGTTTACCCTGGCGAGCCTGAGGTGTACAGGAAACCAGAGATCTCTGCTCCCTGGCTGTCGCTTTATTTGTTATGGTCACAGCTTGGGCTGCCCACGCTGAGAAAAGAAGGTAACAAAAACCCCAAGCGCTGCAGCGCAGCTCCTGCCCTGCCAGCCCTGCTCTGCTGTGATTCATACTGTGGCTGAGAGCAGCGTGTCCCTGAGTGGGATGGTGGGATGCTTGGTGCCACAATATACTCATTCTGCCTAAGAACAGGGTCACTTGTCCCAGATGTGTCTAGCCACACCATGCCAGAAGTAACTGATAGGCGCTCGTCTTGATGCCACACCACAATCATTACCTGCACAAGCATGTGGTCACATCTTCCCTGGCTGTCCACCTCTGCTCTGCAAAACAAAGCATTACCCAAGGTCTCCGTAGCTGCACCCCTACTCCAGAACTTTCTCTTCATCCATCTCCATCACCCATGCAAAGGAGGCTTGGGGACCACAGGACAGATGCCACCCTGATGTGCAGAGCTCACCAAAGGTCTTTGGGCTTGTGGGACTCCAGCTGCTACCAGCTCCAGAGCCCTACTGCCACAGCAGATCCTTGTCCTGGAGGGGACACCACAATGTGTTCATCCAGTACCCCATTTTTGCTTCAGGATGGGGTATAAGGATTGGACGCTGCTGAGGACTGGGAATCCCTCTCTTTCTATGGGGCTAAATGCCTGAATGGAGACTGAAGGCACCCCTGCCACTCCCACCACTGTGCACTGAGAGCACTCAGGCAGCAGCATGGAAAGCACTGCATGCTGCAAGACATGGGCAAACTCTCAACTGAAGAAGTGAAGCAGAAAGAGTGATATTATAAACACACCTATTTATAGGGGCTGCCCTTCTGCCAGGGCTTGACTGGCAGCAGCAAGGGCTGGTTTGGCACTTAGGGAGCTCAGTCTAAAACCATCACCCAGCAACCTGGGAACATGAGATGAAGCCTCCTGGCACATGGAGGGCTGTTGGTCCCCATGGACTCACACCACTGGCCAGGTTGCTATTAAAGGGAGAAAACACTAGCGAGCTGATAAACAGGAGGAGGTGAGCCAGCTCCTGAAACCCACAGTGATTTGGCAGCCCTCCTCCTGGAGCAGGCAGCTGGGTGCCAGACAGCACCATGCAGGACTAAGCACATGGTCTGAAATCATCAACAGGGTGGTTTGAAAAACAGGGAATTAAATCTGTGAAGGGCACAAACAGCTGCCTGGAAGGGAGAGATTTTTAGGGCTCGGTATTAGTTTTGTTGTGTTTAGGCATCTTAAGTCTCTGTGTTTTCCACCAAAAGAAAGTTCAGGAATTCACTGGAGAACCATGACAGTATTGAGCATGACTTTCTGAGGATGTGACATTTATAGTGTGAGATAGTGATCAAAAAACCCAGAGCAGTGGAAGATGAGAAGCTATTTATGAAGGAAAAACTGCCGTGTTTCCTTCCAGATGCTGCTGGACTCCACCTCTCCTCCCCTCATTTGCAGAGCATGGGTTTGTCTCCTGACTCTGGGCAGCACCTTCCCAGTGCTGGCCCTCGGCAGCAGGATGCTGCCCATGGAACCACCCCTGGGTGCTACACAAGGAGACCCGGCCCAAGGATGAGGCCAGAGCCACTGGAGACTACAGGCTGGCTTTTGGTTGTTCAGACCCAGGGAAGTATCACTCA